AAAGAAATTGTTCCCTGTATTCAGAAGGTACACTTTACAGCCTGCGCTCCGAACAAAGCACTTACTGGCCGAGCCAATTATCGGAACCCAGTCTCTGGACAAAGTTTAATTAAGTTCTTGTAGATTCTATCACTGCCAAAGTCCGTTTAAACTCTGTAATTATTTTTTTGCGATAACACACAATTGTGAAACGGTTCATTTTTTGTTCATCAGTGAAGAAAGAAGTTAAGAATCCATATAAAAGATTGAAGCTCTGACCTTAACAAAGTTATAGCTTAATGCTGAGTAAGCTATGGAAACTTAATATTAATGTGTCTGTAATATATATATCTCTCAAATGAGAACAATTTCAAACACACAGTTGAGATAGGGCATTTCACTGGACCGATCTGAGTGAAGTTCCTTGCTCAAGGGGTATGGCACCAGAATTTTTTTTAATTATTATTTATTACAAATGACAGCTTTATAATTATAAATAATGATGTTAATAATTGTATTCATATTTTGGATAAACCATTAAATATTTACAGGTAGCTCTAATGATAATTTTTCCAACTGAATATCAAATGATAAATACAATACCCAAGCAGTCATTTTTTCTCTGCATATCATTAATAATCTTCATAAGCAGTTGTAAATGTCTACTGTAGTTTTAGTCATCTTCTTATATGATGTATTCAGTAAAAGTCTGTTTCACGAGGTTTCTTACCCTGTAACAAAGTGTACTGGTGCAACTCAAACCTTAATGGAACAGAATATGTGAGAGAACTGTAAAGAGAATAACAAATTCAATGTGTCAGATTGAACGCCTAAATGATTACATTTATATAGTGCTTTCATTAAAATGTCGTTTGGAAAAAAACACCATTTATAATTTTAAAACGGCAGATGTCTCATGTTCTCTTACATTTCATCTATATTTTATCACAATTATTTAATGTCATAATTTTTCCACAAATCTCATTCAGCCTCTGAGCTGCCTAAACTGGTTGAGCTCCTTCCATGTGAAATGCAAAACTGCTTTTCACGTTCTGTCTAAAATTGCCGAGTCTGGAAAATAAGAAAGGTTTTCTGATAATGTTATTCAGGCGCACTTCATCTAATAAATTTCTCTTGGTTATGCTACTATTTTTGTTGTTGTTTTTGTATTTTTAAATTAGGTCAGTTTCAACCAGTGTCATATTTTGACACTTGCAAGTTTGATCCCCTATTAACAGAAAGAAAATACTGTTCCTAGTCAGTCTGAGCTGCTGTGCCTCGCTCCTGAGCCCAGAAAGCTCTACTGTACTGCAGGGATTGGACTGATCTCTCACCCAGTCACTAAAAACTCAGAAATAGACAGAAACAAGACCACACTGGCCGTCTCAGCTCTCCAGGTATTGCTCTGGAATCCTGTGAAGCACATTTTATTAAAGAAAGACACATATAAAATATACTCTAGTTAAAACTGTGAAGAATTCCAGAATCCTACTCAGCAGCAGAGCTCTACTGTATTTGTTAGGGCTTGGAAAGGGCAATCACTGCCTTAAAACAACCACACCATATGGCCTATCTTTCAGCAAAGATCAGCTGATCCACTGCGCGTTATTTAAACTCATCCTTCCACCTCAGAACAACACTGCATAGTGAAATCGACAAGCTCTGTCCCATCCCTGCATCCCCTCCGGCTCTCCTGCTTCAAGTGTTTCATGAAAGCCATCATTAGTCATGATAACATAATGATTTCAATTAGCATGTAAATAATTTCATTTCAAATAATAATAAACTGCTAATTGTGTAGTTACATGCACATGACAATTGAGAAATGTGCAACATTATTTTGACAACAACTCTTATAAAGAGAAAAACATAATCTTACAGCCTATTAACCAGCATAAATTGTACCTTTACTGTGATTGTTCTCTCTTTAATAACTTGCAAAAACATATCTTTACAGCAGAGAGAAATTACTCTTATACCTATTCCACAGGATCCATTACGCTAATAATTTATAATGAAGCCTTTCAGGAGGCCCAAAACGCCATCATGAGCTTGTCTCTTATCTATATCAATAAAAGACAAATGACAGAAAGAGCATTGTTTAAGCTTGCTAATTCCATTGTAAATGTCAGTATGTTATTTCTCTTTGAAGATGATTCTTTGGTGCAGCTGTTTTGTGTGTCTGGGTTGAGGAGAAACATTCTAAAAAATGCTCAGGGATTCTGTATCAGAACCACTCTTTCTTTACAGAAAAGCTCTGAAGGACATTAACGGTTGTCAGAAGGACCTCACTTAAAGCAGGAAAGTCCCATTTTTATGTACAATTTCATGCTCGAATAGCCTGCCATGTTTTTGAGGTATAAAGATAAGAGATATTATTTCTCAGCCAAGCTAGGATAAAGACTGAAATTCTGAACCCAGACTTCGAGACCTACTTGTGTGGGAAATCTAGGGCATTTCCCTGACCATCTAGTTTCATTCTGCTCCTCCGTCTTAAAAGCCCCTGCTGGTTTGAGGTAATTGTGAGTGTGACATTTCTCTCTTGATTAATCTCCCTCAGGCGCAATGCTTATATTGTTATATTATTAATTTACATGGTTGATGCTTTTATCCAAAGATATTTACGTTTGTGCCCATATGCACAGCAGAGCTTCAGAGGGAAGCGCTTCGCTCAGGGATACAACAGCTGCAGGAAGTAAACCACAACCTTCTCGTAGCGAGCTCTAGCCACAGACCTACCCCACTGCCGTGCTTGCTGAATACAGTGAACCCTTCACTTCATTAGACACTCATCCTTTTATTCAACTGTCTCATTCCACAAGCCCCCTCTCTAAAGCTCTGCCGCTTCAAGACATTCTTGTACTGGTTTTGAAAAATCACGAGGGCTGGCCTGTTGGATGCCTGTAATGTGAGCCTCCTTTATTTAAAAAAAAAAAAAAAAAGCTCTGTAGCTCTACTGAGAAATCTGTCCGGAAGAATTTTATTTTTTTCAGAAAAATACAAATAAGCCATTTCCTGTCGAGATAGAATGGGTGAAAATACTTTGCCGTGTTATTGTTCTCTGAAAACAATCCTACCCCCATGAAAGGGGAAATAATTACTCTGCAGCGGTTCCTGCTTTTCAGAGATAAGCCGCTGCTTCCTTGGAGGGTTCCTGGATGATGTTTAGTTCCTTACTATGGAGCTCAGAATTACATTGTCAGAAGATATAGGTGAGAATTGTCTGTGATATTCTCACTTGTATCCCTAGAGTGTGATGCACTGAAAAACATTCTCACCTTTTTTTCCTCCTTTTTTCCTTTTTTTGTTCTCTTTTTTGCTCTTTTTGTGTGTGTTCGGGTCTATCCGGTTTTTACAACCGTGAGTTTCTGAGGCAGGTACAGGCCAAGTGTAAGACTAAGACTGAGGGCTGAGGGAAACAACAGATACAGGTACATAAAAAGCAGTCAATGGTAGAAACAAAACAGTTGCCCAGTCTAGGGGACAGCAGCCAGTCTGCCCTTGGTAGCTCTTTTGCAAATTTCTTTCTGGAAGCTCTTTGCAGTTTCTAAATTCAAGCTCTATCCCCTTCATCCGCATAATCCTCTGCAAATTGTCCCTGTCACTCATTCCCATAAAACAATAATACCGCAGTATGGTGCCAAGCAAAGCTGTTCCATACTTCACAGAACATTTTACTAGCACATATTAATGTTGCCTGCTCACTTTCCACAGAGAAAATAACTTTGTGGGGAGTTAAGAGTAAAAGCAGTCACTATGAGGTAAAAGAAAAGACCTTTAATACTTCTGAAATGGGCATGTATTTGCAGTAGTAATTGAAGAATAATCCCTCTCTTGCAACTTATGCTGTTTATAGTAAGAGCTCTGAATCCATGCTGACCTTCAGAATGAAGAAAAGTTTTCCCAGGATTGCCCGTCACTCCTTGTGGGCTGTGCTTCTCCTTCTTCTCTGGGTTGCTACAACCCTGAGCAAGGAAAAGCATCTTTCTGATCATGAACACTTAGATGTTTTTGACTGTTTGTCTATTCGGAATGAACGTTCATTAAAAAAGTGTTTGAAAGGCAAATGCAATACTAGGTGCACAGGTTATTTTGAATGCTGTTAGAATGCTATTTTTATCTGAAGATGTTTTGTGCATTACCAGTGTAGTTTTATAGTCCATAAGATTAATACTCTCCTACATGTAGTGGATGTAGATGCATATGGCTGTTACAGATCAAAGTTACAGTACATCATCTAAGAGAACTCACTATCAATGTGTGTCATTCTGGGTCAGTTTCCAGGAAAGCAAAGTCATATACTGTATAACATCGGTGTGTGTTTTTCTTTAAAATTAGCCCTTTAAGGAAATCTTTAAACACATAATTCTTGTACTGAAGAACCTTTTTTAGTGACGATTTATAGAATATGCAAAATATCTAAATAGTTTTCCCCCTTTTCTCAGGAATTGTAGAAACTCGGGACGCGAACGTGGAACAGATACATTTTTTCTATGCCAGTCATGATTATTATACTGTAAGTTTACAAGAACTGAATTCAGTCAAAGCTTTAACCCTCATAGCAGTCTCCAAATCCAAGCCTAGCAGTCAATGGTATGTACAGTATCTATAAGACATGTCTGACAGACAAAAACTACTATCATGAAACGTGCTTGGAACGTATGATTTGCAGGTGGGTTGACAGTTATGTAATCTAAACTTCAGTCACAGGAAAATTGGAGTTCAAGAAACACAATTATACCTTATGTGTTATTTTGAGCTTTTTGTGGATAAATGTGTGCTCATGCTCTCTTGAATGTATGTATCGTTAATTATTTTACATTATGCAGAATCCCAAAACACATTGATGTCATACAGTATTTCACATTTTAATACCATGATAAAACATTACAGTAAAATGCAGTGCTTTGCCCCTTGCAAATCTCCTGATATTACTGGATGTTTACGTAAAGATCCAGACGTGCAGTCAATACATTTAATTGAATCAGCAAATAAATTCTTCCTTTTTCTGTTGGAATCAGGTAACTACTGGAATGCAGCGTCTTTCAACACACCATCTTCGTACCTCCACTTCTCCACCTTTCAAGGGGAGACCAGCGCTGACATCTCCTTCTATTTCAAGACCTCAGCTCCTTACGGCGTCTTCCTGGAAAACCTCGGCAACACCGATTTCATTCGCCTGGAATTGAAATGTAAGTCGCCCTGCTGGATGTGAAACGTCCTGCTAGGTTCCTGCCTGAGAGCTTCAGGGGGTTTAGTGCTGAATTTATTTCCTGAGAAAGTGCACCATGTGATTTACATGGCCGCGTCGGCAATGCCTTTTCATTAGCCTGCTCTGTTCATGTAAGTAAATTTGGCCTTTCAAAGGCCTGATTGCAGTTCCAGACAGTGATCTCTCTCATTGGTTGCTTTCTTCTTCAAATCGAAACACAGTAAATAGAAACATCAGATTCATTTCGGACTAAAAGAACAAAAGAAAATCAATTTGGTTAAATCTTTGATTTAACCTTTCATTAACAATGAGCGTGAGGACATCTTTGAGAGAACAGTGCTTTACATTTTATGAACTAATCAATACTTTACATTTTTACAGCTGTTCCTGTTTTATTTTATTTTCATTGCTCGAAAGTGACCATTTGGTTTAATCGAAACAACTTAAATTGTTTAGCATAAATTGCTGTCATTATTTTTGAACAAAGAATAGTGTGAGCAACGGGCAAAATTCATACTGCCTTGATTGAAGCAATAAAACAGGCAAATGCTGATGGTTTAGAAGTCCACCTGTCAAGGTTAAAGGTGGAAAGTGTTAATCAGCTCTGTTTCTCTTCAGGGCTTCTGTGTCATTGATGTCTTCAGTAGCACAGCAAGAGAACCAAGTTTTTTCACCTCAGGTCAGCACAAGACGTGCTTCTCCCCAGCCAAGCAGAACATCAGCTGTACTCTGGACTCTTAGCTCTAGATTAATTATTTCGCCACACCATCTAAAGCTAAGCCCGCCCTGACAGTGAAATGTGTGAGTGGCACTGACATGGCGGGTCTTCCCTCCCTGTCCAGCCTGCTCCCTCTCCCAAGGCCTCAATCTGAAAGGGCGCCTTCACTAATCAAGGGGTTATTGAGCCCTTGTTTGGCCCCAAAGAGAGGCAGAGGCACCAGAGAGAAAGTGTGGAGGCACAAGAGGCCTAGCCATTCCATTTGTCATGCGGTTCCCATGAGCCCTCTCCCCTGTCGGCATCGCAGGGAAGCCTTGTCAGAGATTGAGAGTAGCCATGTCCATGGGTTTTTACATACGTCTCCGAATCCAAAGAAACCTAATTATTTTTACACCCTACTGGTCAGCCGCCGCGGCTCAGAAAAAAAATTACACTTATTTTTGGGAGAGTGAGCGGGAAGGGGAGACAGCAAGCAAGACAGGGAAGAAAAAGCTAGCGTGGTTAGTATTTTTTTAGAAGTCGTTGACAGGAAGCTATCAATCAGAAGATGCAGGCACAGAGGCGCTAAAATGAGAAATGAAATTCGCCACGTATTCTGCATATAAATATTGATTGTGTTGCAGGGCGGATGTGAGTCAAGGACTGTCTTCTGCATCCCTAAGGTCATAACTGCATAGGTGTAAATGCAGATGTGAGGTTATTCATCAGTGAGGTATCATTAGTAGTACTAGAAAGTCATTTTGCAAAAATATCTGTTACTTTATCATGCACACATAATACACATTTCTTGGACTGAAATTCTGTAGGTATAATTTTAGTTCAGTAACAGGACTTTTTAAAATAACAGAATGTAGTGGAACAATGAATCCTTCTTTATTTATAAACATTCTGTGCTAGAAAACACTGTCCATACGGTGCATGGGAAGGAAAATTCATATACAGTATTTATCAGTGAGTTTCTTAGATTAAGGCCAGCTGTTGATACACTTTCACAGAGGCAGTTTGAACTGCATTTAGAAATCGTTAATGAAAGTATGAATGCCCCTTGGCTAAAATGTATCTATCCGATTAAAAAATAAAGTTGAAAGCCGTATTTATGGAGTTGTCACTCCCCATCAGAGCCCACTTGAGTTATCTCTCTTCAAGATTCTCTGGTTCAGCTTTCAGCAATTTCAGGAAAGGTTATAATATTTATTTTTTCCACAATATTCTTGTTACTGTGACACATACCCTGATGCAGTCAAAACCATGAAATGGCCTCCTGAAACTACAATACCTCTTGATATTACCACAGTTCTCCATGATTGAGGATCACTGCAAAGAGGAAGATGCTTGGTAAACACCACCAGACCACACTGCGATTGACCCTCAATGTACTGTACACACCCACCTTAGCCAAGATCCAGAAAACTCACTAAGTTCAAAAAAGGGAGTTAGTAAATCTAATAAACGTAATTAATTGAACGGGTTAATTAGTGAAAGAAGTGAAATGTCGTCCTTTAAGGGAGTGATTGTTAATTTGCAGCCAAAGTTAACAAAAGGAAGTACTTCAGCTTGAATGATCTGTGTTATGAACCTTTCATCAACGCCTAAATGTAGCACCTGCTGCTCACATGTTTTAATGATTTAACACCCCAGAGAATGAAGGCGGTTTCAGATCCTGGAGTAAAAAGGCAAAGGGAAGATGAGTTTGTGATCATCGGAATGACTTGAAGCTAATGGTCATTAGAACATGAAGGTCAGAGCTTGTTTTGCACTGTTGCACAGTGTCTTTAGTGTTTTTGTTCCCACTAAAATTTAAATTAAAAGTACAATTTTGCTATACCAATTAAATAAGAAATTGGTCGCGTGGAAAGTTCACATTTTATCTTTTCACATTATTAAAAGATGTTTATGTTTATTAACATTCAAAATGTTTATTTTCAAAAGTAGCCAAACACGTCTGGCCAGCTCTCTGTAGACGTGAGCATAACAGGTATCCCTCATAGCAGCAGAGACCAGACGTAAATCCGGGGTTGGAAAGGCTGTGTTTTTTATATCAGAGGAAATATTTATTTCCATTTAAGTACCATCTAGGCAGAATTTGTACCTCTGGATTTACTGTCTTTCAGTTTAGGAGAGCCGACTGAGTTAACGAGGAGTTAACGAGGAGAAACCAGTATCATCTCCTTAAACTGCTTTGTCTCTGTTAGTTTGCAGTGAGAATGGCTCATACATGATGGGATTCTTGTCTGAAGTGTGTGCCGCCCTCTCACTGTGCCAAGGAAACAGGAAAAATGCGCTCATCTGTTTAGCTGCCTTTCATTTCGTTTTTAAGTTTTAAGTTCAAAATGAGTATCAGGGGATGAATTATAGTCTTATTATTGTGCCATACTATTATATTATATTTAATTGCTACCACATTTGAAGGCTATTGTTCTCACATTTAGCATAACTGATGCTATTCCCAGCTGCCCTGCAAATGATTGGCTATTATTATATTATATTATATTATATTAGCCTAGCCAGGAACATGTCGGTCACTCACTTAAATATCACTTAAATTCGCAAGTTAACCTTGCGATTGTCATAGACTCATTACTCCTGGATGAGGAGCCTGGACTGAACCTTCTATCTTTCCATATGGATCTAAATGATATTCTTCAGTATAACTTGTTTATAACGTAATAAATAACCTTTATTTATAAAGTCACATTCGAGACTTAAGTACTCGGTTTTGATTTCACTTTTATTGATATGAGTTAATTGTAACATATCCTGTTCAGTGTGAAAACCTGGCCTTTTAGAAAGCTCTTCTCTCTTCTCTCCATATTGGCCTCTTGACTATTTTCAAAAAACAAGTTGTTCATATTGAAGAAGTTCTGCTCGAGTTACATTGGCGCCCTCTTTTGGCATTAAAGCGTTAGTGCATTGACCAAATTCAGATTTCAGATGGTCTGGCTACTTCGAGAGTGACCTAGTCTAGACAAAACCTTTTATCGTTCTGACTCTGAACGGTCTGTGGTTGATGGTTAGCTTTTCAGAAATGAAACAGTGGGTCTTTTCCTGCTCTTTTCAAAGAAGTAATATTTTATTTTAAGTTATAACATCAAGGTATTGTTTAATATTTATACTAACGTCTGAGGCATTAGTGTGCTTTTAATTTTGAAAAAGAAATTATTTATTCAGCACCTTTGCCTCTTGTCTTCTCATGTTTTAAACACTACTCTTGTCAATATGGATGGGTTGCAGGGTGCTCATTAAATTTCTTGACTTGTAATCACTTTGATTCATACTCAAAGCTTAATTTAGGACTGGTGTCCCATCCTGACACTTGTTGGGCTGTGCTTTTTAAATGAAGCAGAATTTGTAATTTAATTTGAAATTTTAATCAAAGCTACTGAAAAGGTATTTTTTCATTCACATTCCTCCTGATATTCACCCACATCCAGCCTACAGAACCTGCAGAAGTTGACTAGATCAATGATGCTCCTCAGAGCTGTAACCCAAACACAGGCATCTGTTACTGGCCTTTCTGGCTCATCCAGCCAGAGTGCCCAGTCTTTGACATATCCTGGCTCAGAAACCAGAACAAACAAGGAGCTGTTTGTCTTTAGGTTAGTGCCTAGTTCATTCAGGGACACAACGGTGCCTCTCACTCTGTGGACTCGACAATCTCAGATGCATTTTTTCATATGATCCGCTCTGGGGTAACAGGCAAAGATCAAGGCCACCCTCCGCAGGCAGCTTTGTCCTGCAGGCAGGGAACACACTGTCTGGCAAGCAGTGGAAATGAGACAAAAGACCGTGGTTATATAACACCCCAAGTGCAATAAGTGGAAAAAATAACAGAAGGGGACTGGAATATTTTTCACCCTTTACTTTATCGTTCTTTTTAGATTTTTAGTTCTAGACCCACCTGATTCGGAAGCGCCACTTGCTTGTTTTCCGTTTTCTCGCCTGTACTTGCACATGGAGAAAGAGGGATTCTTCCGATCAGGGACGTTCATCTTCGGACACACCTCAGGCTCCACGGCTCCTGGCAGGGGGGTTCGCCTCCATCGCCAGCACCCCTGCAACCTCAGGAGCTCAGGAAGTCGCAGGAGGTGTTTTAAAGTCAAGGGCTGAGAGGATACTGGCCGACTGACCCCACCCTCATGTCAGTTGTGCACTGCAGGGTGGGACATTCTGGTCACGGTCAGCTGGTGAAATGACCGTGTCTGGACCATTGAGCTCAGCCCGCGCTTGGATTGAGCACCAGTCCTCTTGGTTGACAGCTTGTG